GTTAGGTTACGTTACGTTACGTTAGGTTAAAACAAAATGTCTACGTTTTAATGGATGAAAGAATGAATCCGCAGAGCAATGCAAATGGCGGGCATTAATTTATTACACACCTTTCCTGACCAATGCAGTGCTTTATATTCCTGCCCTGAAGAATACTATAAATCGACATTTCTAATTACATCAGTGATCTATTTACCCCCTTAATATACAAAATAATGAGATTTTATTCACTTTTCGAATTACCCCAACGGTCCAGTCTAAAAGTGACTATGTCCAATCTACATTTCTGCTACACCCTCAGTTCTTTCCATCAGCTATTCCATACCTGCCTACAGGTTTTAACCATGGTTTATCGTCTACATTGTCGCTCAATTCCTGCGCTCCTCTTAGGTAACTTATCGCCCACAGTGAGCAGAGTCCTTCTAGACAAGCCGACAGCACGCTCACATACTCTAGAAACCCCTAGAAATGTATTCGCATTTTACGGATTCCGAGCATTCCACTGGTCCAAACCCCTGAGTCAGATGAACCTAATTCACATCATCCCGACTGCCATACGATGTTTTAATATTATCCTCTCTTTTCCGCCTATGAACCTGAACCATTTTCATGTTGGATGTCATACAATTTATCTTAATATTAAATAAATAGAAATATTAAATAAAATAAACACCTAATTTTCCTATTTGTATTCTGATGGTCTTTTAAACAAACATCATGAACAGTATTTGGTTATCTTTGTGTTCATTTCCATTTCATTGCTAGAGCTTCTGTGTTCTACTTCGTGGTATTTATATCACCAAATAAATTAACATTATCAGCAGAAGCCACTGTGTCCCATTCATTTCTCATCCCTCTTTGATGTCTTGAATAATCCTGATAACACGTGCCTAAGAAAAGTTCAAAAGCAATGGCACTAAAGCCTCTCCTTGTTTCAAACTATTGTGAACAGGAAACGTATCAGACATTGTTAACCAATAAGGGCTTTACTTTTATCTCCATTTAAACACATTTCAATTAGCCTAACCAATTTCATTGGTACACTGAAGTCAACGAGAATGGTGTATAATATTTCTCTCACGACTGCATCATAAGATCTGTTTAATTATGCAAGTGGCTGACGGCTTTCGACTGTATTCTCATTCTTTCTCCAGTGCCTGCTGAATGCAGAATATCTTATCAGTAATCCATGGTTTGCGTTTAAATCCACGCTGATAATCCGCAATTATTTCATATACGTATGAATGATGGGCAACATTTTGTACACAGTCGATTAAAAGTGATAATCCTCGATACATACTAAGCCAGTTACATAATCTTTCTTAGAAACATGAAAAATAATATATTTCTTCCATTGTTCTGGTATTTCTTCCTTATTCCAAATACAATTGACAGATTCTGAATCTCAATCATCACGTTACTTCCTGTTTGGGTAAATTCTGCCGGAATTTGATCAATTTGTGATTTATACGCTTCCAAATTTTCAATAGCAAACAAAGGCCCAGGTATTAATTGTGCAGTTCCGTACGGCTCTTACAAAGATCGTTCAGCCCACAGCTGACAGGGGTAAATCTTGATCTACTGAAATTAGAGTGGAAAATCTTCAAGATTACGATTCTCATCTGAACCCTGCGAGACGAAGTTCGCTTACATTTAACATGTCAGTAAACCACGGTTCACATGATGCTTCAACTCCTAATGACTTACTAACGGCAGGAAGTCTACACTTAAAATAAAGTTTCCTTCAGTATTTTCTGAAACCCTAATGAAGTGCACATTATCAGTCAAGTTTTCCTGTTCAGATTTTGACCTGATATCTTCCTGAGATGGTAAAGTTGCGTCATATTGTGATATAATGAATATATATTTTAAATCTTGTCCGTCTAATCACAATAAATTCTTATTAAATATTAAAATATTACAATAATTAACATTTAAAATATTTAAAATATATCAAATGATGTTCTATATCGAAATATTCGATTTACATTAGACTATCATCGAATATTTCGATAAAGAACATCATTTGATATATTTTAAATATTTTAAATGTTAATTATTGTAATATTTTAATATTTAATAAGAATTTATTGTGATTAGACGGACAAGATTTAAAATATATATAAAAAAATATATATTCCTATAACTTTATTTTACTTTTAATAATATGCTTACACAGTAGATTTTAAGTAGTGTCTTCAAAGAATGTCGGCTATTTATGAAAGCGTAATATTCTGCACTTGTTTCATAGAGATATCTTCCCTTAAAGTCTGCAAAGCTTACTTCCTGAGACTAAATCTCTGCGTTTACAACTTTTGTTACGTCTCGTTTACTTATTAACAGGCCCTTCGTCCCACCACTGTCACCTTGATCCCCGTCTGGACGAAACTGTCTTAATTAGCATATCGCAACCTTGCTCAGTCTCACTGTTAAGTCTACTCAAATCTCGATAACATTATGTAAGATACGATAAAACTGACGTAGCATCGTTGTCCTTTAACAAAAACAGCAGTGAGTAGAATACGTGACTAATTTATTCTGACGGAAGACCTCAATAACATTTCACTTAAAACAAACACAATTTTGACCGAGCACAATTGTATGTCTGAGTACGAAACAGAACAGTGAGTAGTTAAACTCCTTTTAACACGAATTCTACATTTGCTATATTATAACTAAAATAAAATACACGCCCCTTTGAAAACGCAACATTAATTTGAAGGCGTATTGAGATCAGCTGTGATGAGCGAAGCTACTTTAAAAATTTAATTTGCAAACATAAATCACTGAAACACATTATGCTCACACAATTTAAAGAAATACTGAAAACAAGTCCGTAAGACGGTAACGTAGGTTCCTGCATTTCAACACAACATAAACGGATTGCGCAAGAGCGTAGAAAGGACAGAGGCTGTATTTTGCCCTTTGGACACAAAACGTAGCTCGAGACACTCGCGGCCAGGGAGCGAGGACCCTCGTTACCTCAGAGCTGCAGTGAATGAGCCAGAAATCTCTGTTTCTCGTGACTCATCACCAGAAGTTAGCTACGGGAGGTATTTTAAAACAACTGCACGTAAACTTTTAGAATAACTAACTCCCTGGTAGCAAAACCCACAGGTTTAACACCGACAATACCAAAGTCCGCCATCGGCCACGATCCTGAGCCAATTCCATCCATTCGCCACCCTCCCTAACATCCATCTTGACGTCGTCCTACCATCTCCTTCTTGGTCTGCCCAGTGGTCGTTTTCCAGAAGGATTCCCTACCAAAATCCCTGTATGCGTCCTTTGCCCCCCCCCCATGCGTGCTACATGTCCAGCCCATCGGAACATAAACATACTTTCGTAAGGCAATCGGCTACAGACGACTTACTTTGGCAGTGGCCGTAGTACGCGACGGCTAGCGTCGCGCTCTTCCTGCGACACGCCCTCTTCCGGAGGCGGCACATGTTCCGGTAGGAGCGTCCGTCAGTGCCGCAGACGGGGCCCTTGAAAAGCTCCTACGGCAGTCCGGGGAACAGACGCATTTGGGTCGTCCCCGACGTACGACGCACTTCTTACCATCGCCGCACTCGACGCCGGCACACGACTCTGCGACAAGAAATGCGTTTCAAAAAGAACAACCAGAAATGCTGTCTCAAATATGACACGATCACTGGAGAAAAGCAAATTAACAAACAAGCAACAGCTGACAGTCGCAAAGCAATTATTTGAAATAATATAATTACAATAAACATACATAATGGACAGACCCGTAAAATCACCGGGGTATAAAATTATCAGTAGCTATTGAGGCCATACGAGGGTGGTTCAAGTTCGACCCGGATTCTTTTTTATTACGAGAGACGTCTACACCACAACGACAAAATACTCTTCGTGGCAGATGGTGGCAACACTGCTTCCACTCCCACATACACGGACTCAACCTTCGCGTCTTCGCATTAGGAGCAGCACAAGATGGCGTCAGACCCTGTCACTCTAAAGTCGAGAACAGCGGTGTCAGACAAAGTGAGACCGGGCGAAGTCCCCCAGTCACGCGCAAGTGTCCACGATTTTCTGAACCGTCTCGTCGAGGACCTGATTTTGGTAAACAGGCGAACTGCAATGCACCGCGTGACGTCGCATCCAGAGCGGGCGCAGATGTTGGAAGGGCAGCGTCTACTGTTCGAGGGTCCTGAAGAAGCCGAAGGCACAACGTGTTCCTGTGTCTGCCGACCATCTGACCCGGACTCAACTGGAGAGAAATCCACTTCTGCAGCAAAGAGTAACTTGTCACTCCAGAGTGACAGAGGTCCACAAAGGTCCCTACGACCCAAAAATCGTGTCTTGAGCTCGCAAGGTCGGTCCAAGTGTCTTTGGTATTCAGATGGGGCGAATAGTCTAGATTCTCTGCCACCTCATGCAACAATTAATGCTCAATATTACAGCAACTTGCTTCTCAACGAAGCGCACGCAGGAATTCGCAAGGAGAGGCCCGAGAAACTGTCAGAGGGGGTCAATCATCCTGGTGCATGACAACGCACGACCTCATACGGAGATTTTGACGAACGATGACGTCAGCGATCTCAATCTGCGGAATCGTGAACAAATTCCTTACAGTCCAGATGCAGCCCCTAGTGATTATCACTTGTTGGACCAATGAAGGAGCAGAAATTCATGGCAGACGGCGAATTCACACGAGGTATCCTGTATCGGCTACGTCAGTGGTCCCACTTCTTTCTACGCCCCTGACATCAGAGCCCTGCCGCGGCGAAGGCTCAATGTGCCATTGGAGAGGGACGATATATTGAAAAGGAGAAACAGTTTGGTGATTCTGACGTGTGTTTTGTGTAAATAAAGAAAATAATAATTTCCTCCTACGGCGACATTTTCTAGCCAGCCCGCTCGCCCGATCTGTCGGCCTGCGATTCCTTTTCATGGGGCTACTTGAAAAGCGAAGTATTTGAAACAAGTAAAACCTCAAAAACAAAATTTCTAAAAAAAATAAAAATGAATGCCATATCACTGGCTACGTTAGCGCGCGTGATGGAAAGTTTTATGAATCGAATTTGTCCAAGTGTTTCTCAGCAATGTAAAACTTGTATCTTTCAATCGACATGACTTTAAATAAATCTGAATAAACTGTGGTCGACTAGGGCAGCGTCACAAGAGCCCCGCTCTTTCGAGGTCACTGTAACAGATCAAGCTTCTGTAATCTTAAAGGTACAAGATTAAAACCCGGCGCTAGTATGAAGTTGGTCAGATTCTGTCATCGAGTGGCCAGCGCGGTACCATTGGGCTAGACAACTGCCCAGATGACTAAGCCAGGCGTTTAGGCCCGTAGGGAGTATTTATTTCCTGATTGCTCTCAGACTTGGGGCAACTCATGCGCGACTATCCCAGTTCGTGCGAAATTCAAGGTCCCAGAGCAGACAGAAAGCGTGGGTTACCTTACCGTTAAACCCATGCGTTCCTGGAATCACAGATGGAAATTTAGAGGAGTTTCGAAGTCCGCCAGTTACGACGTATTTCAAACCTCAACGACCAATGAGAATCTTCAGAAATTTAAAATGTTCCAATGGAATTTTGAGGGTTCTTTGAACGTTTTGGGTTCTAAACGCGTAGCCTAAGCAGTCCGAGTTGAACCATACGGACAGAAAGACAGACACGGCTCTGAAGCCACTACGTTCTCGAGTTATATCATGCAGGGAAACAGGCGGACAGACATGGTCAGACCAATACGTAGTTACATAGATGCGCACTGAACACCATAATTTAATGACGCCTGTACCTTCATATGGCCACTGCGTCCACAGAGTAGAGAACCTCCCAGTTATACAGAGTCGCGCGGAGTTGGGGTCGTATCTCAGCACGTCTAATGCCACCCACCAGAAGCACTGTCTCCGTCATCAACTGACTGATTAATATTTCGTCAGACACGAAAAGGCGGCTGTTGTTCTTCAAACCTTTTTAGCATCTTAAAAACCTTCAAGAGAGGCCCGAAACCATCACAGAAGAGAAATTATACCGAAACTACCAAAATTTATACCGTTCGTTAAATGGTTAGGTTACAAATGAAAACAGACAGGCACGCGGACTCCTGCTATGTTTACACGAGGACACGACTCTCTGACAAAGTGTCCAGCATGGATCTCTTTCAGGCAGCTATCTTGAAAATAAAATATCTTTCGAACCTTCAGACTGATTCACATCCAACTATAAACACCAAATTCACTTCTAAATATTACAGACATTCGAAGAGACAACACAATACGACGTTATTATGTTTTTCCGACATCGGGCGACGTCAGCTTTCAAATGACAGGCCGCAGTGGACCTCGGGAGCTTCCGGTCGCACACAGTTTCAACATACACAAATATACGTGCGTGTATACATATAATAATCCGTGGCGTAAGAGCCCTCTGAGAGCCAAAGCCGAGTAGCTGGCTGCTGGCCTCACGTTCACATACCTAAGCAGAGGTAAACGATCATCCAACCAGATATAGGGTGACGTGTGGTCAGCACGACGAACCCCCAGCCATTGCTAGCTTTCCTGACCGAATTACG